CACACCCAGCTAAGTGTTTCAATAGATATTTAGCATACATTATGGATGGTCTCTGTTCTTTTTGCATTTAGTGAGGAGCAAGTGGCAGGTATGCCTAGGACTCCAGTGCTGGGTAGCAGGAGGCAGAGTGAGCCCACATTTTGCCTTGCCTCCAACCTCTTACTTAGCATTGGCACCCCCTCCATCCACCAGCAAGTGGGCTGGGGCTTCCTGCAGCTGCTGCCCTGGACGTTTGGTGTGCGTGGGGACTTCACTGCCATCAACTTGGAGGAGCATGTTATTTGCCCTGCCCTGCTTCTTCCACGGTGGAGAAGTTCCTTGACAACAGACACTGCTCCCTGGTACATACCCCAGTGCCTGCACATAGCAGACTCCTTACATGAACAGACGAACAAGTCCCACTAAAACATAAGACAGTTTGGATGTCACAACATAAAAGTTGGGTTTTCTTTTCAAAATGCAAATTCTGGTTGGGCACAGTGGTTCATGCCTGTAATCCTAGCACTCTGAGAGGCCGAGGCAGGTGGATCACTTGAGGTCAGGAGTTTGAGACCAGCCTGGCCAACACTAAAAATACAAAAAATTAGCTGGGCATGGTGGCGGGTGCCTGTAGCCCCAGCTACTCGGGAGGCTGAAGTGGGAGAATAGCTTGAACCCAAGAGGTGGAGGTTGCACTGGATAGAGATGATGCCACTGCACTCCAGCCTGGGTGACAAACTGAGACTCTACCCCCTCCCCCACCAAAAAAAAGTGCAAATTCTTCTAATCTCATGTAACATATTCTGTCAGGTGTATAACCACACAAGAACAGGGTCCTTTCAAACCAGTTGGTTTAATTTCAGGTGATACAAAGTTTAAGGTAGAACAAGGACCAAAGAGCAGACTCTGGCAAGATTCTGAGCTGGTTTTACTTTAAATTCACAGTTATGGTAGGAATGACTTAGTGAAAACAACTAAAGAGATGATAAGCCACTGTTAAGTTTTTTTTTTTTTAATACAAAAGTTTATTCTTAAATGTACAACAGCTCCAAGACAACATTTAATTCCAGCTATAGGTGGCAAAGGATGCTATGGCAGGGAATACAGATGTTTAAATACGGATGAAATAAAGGGTCACCATCTCCTCAAGGACAAGGAACAGCTTACTTTTTGCCAGATTTCTTAATTCCACCTGTGGCTGCAAAAGAAAAATAGTCACAATCAGGGAAAAATATAGTTCTTATGGTAGAAGTCCCATGGGCCTGCTGTAGACCTTAGTAAAGCCGTGGCTTTTATACTAGGCATTCACTTTAAAACAAACATGGATAGCAGTTTATTTTTTTAATTTTTATTTTCTTTTATTTATTTATTTTTTTTGAGATGGAGTTTTGCTTTTGTTACCCAGGCTGGAGTACAATGGCACTATCTTGGCTCACCGCAACCTCCGCCTCCTGGGTTCAAGCAATTCTCCTGCCTCAGCCTCCCAAGTAGCGGGGACTACAGGCGCACGCCACCATGCCCAGCTAATTTTTGTATTTTTAGTAGAGACGGGGTTTCACCATGTTGACCAGGATGGTCTCGCTCTCTTGACCTCATGATCCACCCGCCTCGGCCTCCCAAAGTGTTGGGATTACAGGCGTGAGCCACCGCGCCATGGACAGCAGTTTCACTGATATTGTCTGTTCTGGGTAAAGGTAAAATGAGGATGAGATGGAGTACAAGCAATGGCTGGCTGCACACTGGTCTAGATCTATACTGCTGTATACTTCACAGATTGGCTTATTTAATCCTCATGCCATATCAACCTATTTTACAGAAAAAGAAGCCCCCCACCCCCTTTTTGTGATGGAGTGTTGCTTTGTCACCTAGGGTGGATTGCAGTGGTGTGATCTCAGCCCACTGCAGCCTCCACCTGCTGGGTTCAAGCCATTCTTCATGCCTTAACATCCCGAGTAGCTGGGACTACAGGTGCCTGCCACCATGCCCAGCTAATTTTGGTATTTTTAGTAGATAGGGTTTTACCATGTTGGCCGGGCTGGTCTTGAACCCCTGACCTCAAGTGATCCGCCCACCTCAGCCTCCCAAAATGTTGGGATTACAGATGTTGAGCCACCATGCCCAGCCAAAAAAGAAATCTTATTGTTAGGTATTGTTCAAGGTATGTGACAAGCCTGGATTCTAACCTGAATTGTCTGACTTCAAAGTCCACATTCTTTTTTTATTTTTTATTTAAAAAAAATTTTTTTTGAGACGGAGTTTCACTCTTGTTACCCAGGCTGGAGTGCAATGGCGTGATCTCAGCTCACCGCAACCCCCGCCTCCTGGGTTCAAGCAACTCTCCTGCCTCAGCCTCCTGAGTAGCTGGGATTACAGGCACGCACCACCATGCCCAGCTAATTTTTTGTATTTTTAGTAGAGACGGGGTTTCACCATGTTGACCAGGATGGCCTGGATCTCCTGACCTCGTGATCCACCCGCCTTGGCCTCCCAAAGTGCTGGGATTACAGGCTTGAGCCACCGTGCCCGGCAAAGTCCACATTCTTAACTGCCACATTACACTACCTTCCACATTATGATCCTGGCACCTGGTATGCTCTACCAATTTACAAATGACCGTATGTGTGAAACCCAGCAGGCAATTTAAGAAACAGGGTAAGATTAAGTATGCCTAATACAGGAAAGAGATCCAAAAGGGCTTGACAAAATAAAACTTAAAAAAAAAATTAGATGATGCTCAGTGAGAAACTAGCATAGAGTTACACTGACTGACCTTTTCCCTACGCACAATTACAGATTAAAAGAGGGTGCAAGATGCCTTTTTTTTTTTTTTTTTTTTTTTAAAGATAGGGCATTACTGTATCTCCCAGGCTGGTATACAGTGACACAATCACAGCTTACTGCAACCTGAACTCCTGTGCTCAAATAATCCTCTTACCCTGAACTCCTGTGCTAAGCAATGCTGCTTCAGCCTTTTAAATAGCTGGGATTACAGGAAATAGGCCACTACCACCATGCCCAGCTAATTTTTAAATTTTTCTGTAGAGACAGGGTCTCCCTATGATGCTGTGAATCCTAGCCTTAAGCAATCCTCCTGCTTAGGCCTCCCAAAGTACTAGGATTACAGTCTTGAGCCACTGTGCCTGGCCCCTTACACCATTCTGAAAAGGGATCTCAAGAGCTAGAATCTCAGTGCTGGGTGGGTAAACGATAACGGATCAAACCCACCAGGAGAAGTCTTGGGAAGCCCCGGATGACACTCCCACCCTCCCTGTCTCCATCATGCCTATCGTGGCTCACAGTGCTCAAATAGGGCATAAACAACTGTGGAGAAAATAATCACTAGTTCGATGAATGTAAAATAAAGATGTACATACAGTACTAAAACTGCTGGGCCTGAAAAATCTTTTGAAATGTAATGAATTCCTCTTACATAAAAGAGGTAAAAGGGTGGAAGGATTCGGTTAGAAAAGCATATGGAGCAACAGCACACCGAAGAGCCTGGACTTGGCACACTCAGAAGTAAAGACTAAGGAAGCAAAAGCATTTATTAGAGACAATATGAGCAGGAAAAAAAAAAAAAGTGGTGGCTGAGCGTGGTGGCTCACGCCTGTAATCCGAGCACTCTGGGAGGCCAAGGCGGGTGAATCACTTGAGGTCAGGAGTTCGAAAGCTGACCAACATGGTGAAACCGTCTCTACTAAAAATATAAGACAGCCAGGCGTAGTGGCCTGTAATCCCAGCTACTTGGGAGGTTGAGGCAGGAGAATCGCTTGAACCTGGAAGGCATAACCGAGATCGCGCTGCTGCACTCCAGCCTGGGTGAGAGGGAGACTCCTCAAAAAAGAAAAAAACGGCCAGGCGCGGTGGCTCAAGCCTGTAATCCCAGCACTTTGGGAGGCCGAGGCGGGTGGATCACAAGGTCAAGATATCGAGACCAACCTTGGTCAACAAGGTGAAACCCCGTCTCTACTAAAAATACAAAAAATTAGCTGGGCATGGTGGTGCGTGCCTGTAATCCCAGCTACTCAGGAGGCTGAGACAGGAGAATTGCCTGAACCCAGGAGGCGGAGGTTGCGGTGAGCCGAGATCGTGCCATTGCACTCCAGCCTGGGTAACAAGAGCGAAACTCCGTCTCCAAAAAAAAAAAAAAAAAGCTGTAAGTCAAGTAAGGTTCAAACACTAAGAAGACAGTAAAATACGAATTTGGGACAAGAGATTACGGAAGACACCGGGAAACTTAACTCTATGAATGTGTCCGAGGTAAAACATTTCACTGTTTCCATTTCTGCAGCTCTTCCCTAAGGAATGGAAGCCCCGACTGCCTGGGAGTCAGGAGACTTCGTTTCCAGCTCCCGCCCCTTACTGCTGCTGCAAATCCATGACTGGCTAGAGACCATCCGCTGCAGCGGACGTCGGAAACCGAGAGCTCGCAGTTCAGGAGGCAGGAAAAAGACATGCCCGCGCTCTCATCCCAACAGGTGCCTCATTGCGTTTGGCCGGCGTGAGCTCTACTCGGCCCCGACTTACCCAGGGGCCCCTTCCCCGCGGCCTTTGCTTTTAGCTCTTCGAGTTTCTTCTGCTCTTCTTTTTGTTTCTGCTTGAAAGCCTTGTCTTCCTGGGGAGAAGAGGAGCGGGTTCAACTCAGACCTGTCTCCCAGCCCCTCCGCACCCGCCCGCGCCTCCACGCCCGCCCTCACCTCGTCCATCTCCTTGGCCTGCTTCTTGGGCTGTTTCAGGGGCTTCTTCTTGCCACCTGTGGGGGACAGGAGCACGTTCGGCCTGCCCCCGCCGCCCGGTCCCCGCCCCGCCGTCCCCATAGTCCTCACCGTCCCGGAACACTTACCTTCCCGGCCGGACATGGCGCCTGCCGCCCCTTTCCCAGACCCTGCCACCGGAAACGGAGCGCTTGCCCCTACCCGCTTTCGTAGGCAGGGACGCAGCCCCGCTGATTGGTTCCTAGTCAGGAAGTTGAACTCTCGCTACCGGATGCGGCCTGCCAGGGGCGGACACTAACAGGTCAGAGGTCAGTTGAGTGGCAGACTCCCTGTCGGGCTGCGCCAGGTACGAGGAGCTAGGGTCGTCCCGCCAGGGTAGAATCCGGAACCACCGGAGGGGTACTTAATCGGAAGCCTCCCCAACCCCGCACCCCCCCCGCCGCGAGGCCTGTAGCTGTGCACGAGAAGAGCATTGCAGGTAGACAGCAGGGCATGTCCATGTGCAAAAGGCCTTGAAGATCGGCGCGTTCCTGGAACCGAGGAAAGCACAGTTTGAGTGGAGGGAGATTAGGCGGGGAGGTGGCAGAAGTGGACGGGAGCTATATTTCCTGGTCCTATAGCTTTGGAAGCCTCTGTACAAACTGTAAGGAGTTTGTTTTATAATATAGTCAGGGGTGCAGCAGTTTGCGAATTCTGTTTATTCATCCAGTACATATGTACTGTATGTAGGTACCAAGCTGACATTCTAGTAAGTGAGACGGACTATAACCAAGTAAGTGAAATACGTAATCTCAGGTCATGGGATATGTGCATGGAAAAAGCAAAGCGGGGAAAGTGGATCAAGAGTGCTAGGGTGGGAGTGGGATGGCCATATCTGATAGGGTGTATGGGGAAGGCCTCCCAAGGGCCTACTATGTGAGCAGGACTTGAAGAGGTGATGCAAGCAGCACAGATGGTAGCTGGCATGAAGGCCCCGAGGTGGGGATAATCTGGTGCGTTCCAGTAAGTTCAAGAAGGTCCATGTACTTGGAGTGGAGTGAGGAAAGGGAGACTAGTGGGAGATGAGGTCAGAGACGAATGAGAGCCAGTGGGTAGATGCCCTGTAGGGCATGGAAAGGACAGGCTTTTACCTTGAGAGAAGTGGGGAACCATTGTAGGGGTTGAGCAGAGAGACATGGTCCCAACCTGTGTTTGGAAAGGAGCACTGACTGTTCTGTTGACAATAAATTGCAGGGGCTGGAATAGAAGCAGGGTGACATCTGTCAGGAGGCTCTTGGGGTAATCCAGGCTAGAGATGTGTGTCATTGGGATCATTTGGGAGCAGTGGCAGAGGTAAGAGGAGGAAGGATCCTGGATTTAGAAAGCTAGTGGCATTTGCTAGATAGATGGATGTGAGGTGGGAGAGAAAAGTGGGGAATTGCAGGTGATGCAAGGTTGTTGGCCTGAATATTTGAACTTGGGATTGCCCTCATCCATGATGGAGAAGGCTATGGGAAAAACAGGTTTGGGAGGGGAAGATGAGATCCCCATTAGGTTTTCAGGCAGAGATATGGGTTGGGAAATTTGATAAATGAGCCTGGAACCCTGGGGAGAGAGGTCTGGGCTGGATAAGTCAAGAGTATAGCTTTGTTTTGTTTGAGATGGAGTCTTGCTCTGTCGCCCAGGCTAGGGTGCAGTGGCATGAACTTGGCTTACTACAACCTCAGCCTCCAGGCTTCAAACGATTATCCTGCCTCAGCCTCCCAAGTAGCTGGGATTACAGGTGCCCGCCACTGTGCCTGGCTAAGTTTTATATTTTTAGTAGAGATAGGGTTTCACCATCTTGGCCAGGCTGGTCTCAAATTCCTGACCTCATGATCCACCTGCCTTGGCCTCCCAAAGTGCTGGCCTCCCACAGTGAGCTACTGTGCCTGGCCAGTTTTTGTTGTTGTTGTTTTTAAATAACAGCTTTTTGATATATAACTTGCATACCATAAAATTCACACAATATGTACAATTCAGTGGTTTTAGTATATTCATACAGTTGTATGTCCGTCACCAAAATAAATTTTTTAGACCATTTTTATAGATGAATTTTAAAACCCCAGGACTGGATAAGAGAGCAGTCTGAGTGCTGAATGCTAGGGTGCTACAGAGTCTGGACAGTGTTCGGAGGTTAGGCAGATCCGTGGGGACTGGAAACCAAGTGAAAATGGCATGTGAAGGAGGAGGGAGTGAGGCCGGATTAGTGGGAGCTGGACGGAATTGGAGAAGAGGAGCAGAGACAGTGAATTCAGGCAGTCTGTCAAGGAGTTTAGTTATAAAGGGAAGCAGAGAAATGGGGCAGTTGGTGGTGGGGGTGTCAGATTGATTACTGAGCAGTGTCTCAGGAGGAGAGAGGATCTGGGACCTGGGGCACAGGCTGGTCTTCCCTAGAAGCATGATGTTTTTTGTTGTTGTTGTTTGTTTGAGATGGAGCCTTACCCTGTCCCCCAGGCTGAAGTGCAATGGCGCAGTCTCTGCAACCTCTGCCTCCTGGGTTATAGCGATTCTCCTGCCTCAGCCTCCTCCCAAGTAGCTGGGATTACAAGCACCCACCACTATGTCTGGCTAACTTTTGTATTTTCAGTAGAGATGGGGTTGGTCAGGCTGGTCTTGAACTCCTTCAGATGATCCACCCACCTCAGCCTCCTAAAATGCTGGGATTACAGGCATGAGCCACTGTGCCTGGCCTGAAGCATGCTTTTTTTAAATCCTGAGGATCAATAAAGGAGGTGGAAATGGGGCAGTTGCTAGTGGTTGGGAAGGTATGGTGGGAGTTTGTGGAAGTTCTCCAATTTTTTATTTTCTTGGTGTAAAATGAAGCAAGCAGGCCATCAGCTGGAAGTGAGGACGAGGAGCAGATAATAGAGGCTTGAGAAAAGGGCAGTTGGAAGAAGACAGCCATCTACATAGAGTAGGAGAATAGATCTGAGGGGGCAGCATTCTGAACTTGACTCTCAGGGCCCTGCTTCACCTGTCCAACTTCTCCATCCACTCTTGGCTTTTGCTTTCCAGCTGCACTGACTGCCTTTCAGGTTTTGGGTGACCTCAGGCACTTTCCTCCTTTTCCCTCTGCCAGGAACATTCTTCCCTTTGCTTGTTGAAGGGCCTGTGAAACATCTAAGTGGTGACATCCTCAGGGCTGAGAAACAGGGCCCAGGGTTGGGGGCTGGTAGGGTGGTGGAGAAAGAGGGACCGGAGTGGAGAAATAGCTTGGCAATTATTGCCACATTCCTTTATGAAGTCTCTGCTGCCACCTAGCCTATGTTCTAGTGAGAGAATAGGCAACACGTAAGCAAGGAAATGTGTCCATCAGGAGGAAAATGGAGCAGAGAAGGTAGTTGGGGAGGGACTGGTCAAGGAAGCTTTACTGAGGTGATATTTGGGCAAAGATGAAGATGTTAGGGTGAGCCGAGTAGACTTGTCGTGGAAGAGTCATCCAGCTGGAAGAGCACAGAGGCTGGAGCAGAGAATGGCAGTAGAAGGAAGAGGATGAGGGCTGAGAGGTCTCAGGGCTTTTGGCCATTGCCAGGTGAAATGAGAGCTATTGTGGGGGTTTGATCAGAGGGATATAATCTGATTTATGTGTTACAGAGCCTTGGGCTGCCATGTGCAGAACCTGGGGTTGGGAGAGCAGGGGAGAAAGCCGAGATTGCATAGGAGACAGTAGTTGTCATCTCTGCCAGGAACAGGTGACCTTCCTGGGGTCTAAGAGTGGGTTTCTAGTAGAGGAGGTGCTGGGAAAGGAGGCTGAGAAGGTTCTGGAGGAAGCCAAGAGGGGCAGTGATGTTGGGAAGGGAGGGTGTTGAAAGTGGTGCCAGCCATGGCAGATGCTGCATGCTTTGTTTGCTTTGATGAAGGATACACTTGCAGGGCCATTATGGGGTCCCAACCTGTGCGTCATGGGTGCTGGCGTTAAGGCCTGGGAGTCTGACTGGGCTGCTGGGGCCTGGATGGTATGTAGCCTCATGGGCATGGAACCCAGCCTTATGAATGGGGCCCAGGTGTTTGGGTGTGGCACCAGCTTGGGACCACTGTCACAGTGATGTTCCCTTCTGAGGCTCTCAGCTCAGGCCCACTTTGCCCAGAAGCCATGTTCCTACCCAACCAGCTGTTTTCAACGGGCCTGAGCTTCTCCAAAGACAGTTCTTAGCACAGCATGATGGGGAGGAGGCTGGGATGCTGTGGGCGGCCTCTGTCTCACGTCATTTTCCATCAGGAAGCCCCTTTCTGTTCTGTAACTGGAGCTCCTTCAATCCCTTCCTGTCTGCACCTCCCTCTGCCTTTCTCCCTGGCCTGCTCCATTGGCCACCAGGTGTCGCTCTCACAGCCAGGATCAGCACTTAAGAACTTCGAGGTGTGGTTTGGCCAGAGGAGGGTGCTGTTAGCTCAGCTTTTTCCAGGAAAATGAGTCACCTGGCCATCTCTTTCAGGGGCAGGGGGGTCCTCAGAATCACTGCCACTCTTGGGGTCAGGTGAGGCCTGATTCTGGATAATGGGAGGCTCCTTGCTGTTCAGGTAATGAAAAGCAGGCCCAAACATCAAAGCAGATGCAAAAAGGAAAGATTAGAGAAACCTAACCCTCTGGGTGCAGTGGCTCACGCCTGTAATCCCAGCACTTTGGGAGGCTGAGGCAGGTGGATCACAAGGTCAGGAATTCAAGACCAGCCTGGCCGAGATGGTGAAATCTACTAAAAATACAAAAATTATCCGGGTGTGGTGGCAGGCGCCTGTAATCTCAGCTGCTCAGGAGGCTGAGGCAGAGAATTGTTTGAACCCAGGAGGTGGAGGTTGCAGTGAGCTGAGGTCACGCCACTGCACTCCAGCCTGGGCAACAGAGTGAGACCCAGTCTCAAAAAAAAAAAAAAAGAAAAAGAAAAGAAAAAAAGAAACCTAACCCATTGAGCAGTGGCAGGTTGGAGAGAAAAGAGAAAGCTTATGGAAGGTGAGAAGTATGAGACTGAGAGTTGGGGTCTGGAAAGTTGGGGTGGAGTTGGATGGTGTGAACCTAAGAAAAGTCCTCTGTGGCAAAAAGTGTTGTTGTTTTTGCCCCTGGAATTGTCTTAGAGGAGAGCTGAGAGTTTTCTGTCTTGGGTCACAAATGGCCTGTGTCCTTATATCCTCACACAGAATTGAAACTCTTGCTTCCCTGGTGCTGAGCCAGCTCTTGGAGAGTCTGGGAAGTTGGTTTTGAGGCTGTTTTACAGAAATGATCCTGGTTCTTAATCTTCCTGAATTCCCCTGAGTTCTACAACATTGTGGGGAATCTTTATGCATCTTTGTGGGGCTTTGTCAGCATGTGTACAACTCCAGTTTCAAAACTGTCTTTGATATTAGAAACCTTGGCACCAGGATTCTCATTCAAGTCATAGCAGAGAGACCTGGGGAATGCAGGGAGCTGGGTAGCAGGGAAGGGTCTGCTTTGTGAGGCATGGTGGTGGACACTGGAAGGCATGGTATCCTAGAGGCCCTTTCTCAAGAGTTCCATTGTCCAAGAGCACCCAGGGGAGACCATCCTCTTGCCATAGGGACCGAAGTTTCGACCCAACAAGGTGGTGCTCAGTTTAGATGATTTTAGTGGAGATGAGTCTGTTCAGAACTCTCCCCAGGCCTCTAAACTGACTTATGTCCAGCCTTTCTCAGCTGTGAGCTGACCTGTCTGGCCTCCCCCTCACAGATCTCCTGATGATGGGGCGCAGCCCTGGGATTGCCATGCAGCACATCATGGGTGTGCCCCATGTACTGGTTCGGAGGGACCTCCTTGGAAGGGACCTCTTTATGACCAGGACTCTCTGCAGCCCAGGCCCCAGCCAGCCCAGAGAGAAAAGACCGGAGGAGGTGGCCATCGGGCTGCATCACCGCCTTCCAGCACTGGGAAGAACCCTGGGGCACAGCATTCAGCAACGAGTGACCTCCACAGCCAAGACTTGGTGGGACAGATATGAAGAGTTCGTCGGACTCAATGAGGTTCGAGAGGCCCAGGGAAAGGTGACGGAGGTGAGGAGGGGACCTGGGGTGGCTGGCCCTGCCCTTAGACTTGGGAAATGTGCCAAACCAGCCACATGGTGCTGGGTGCGACATCCAGACTTGTGTTTGGCCTCATTTCTCACTTGGAAACTTGGGCTTGATGCTTCACATGGGTGAAGGTCTCCATGTAACTGTGCCACCTACTTTCCCTGAAAACAGTTATTGTGTACCAATACGTCCCTGGCATTAATGTCCATTCTGTGAAGCCAGCAAATACTTCCTTTACGGACTGTTTGGGGGTTGATGGTGAGAGTTACCTGGGGCTTGCTGCGATACTGTTACCGTGTGTAATTATAACATCTGTTGTGAAGGTGGAGGGCACTGGGAAATGTCACACTGCGAGGTGGAAAGAGCTGCCTGTGGTTGTCAAGTCCTTCGTGGTGGCAGAAATGCATTCTGCCATCTCTGTTCCCACTCATGCTTAGGCATGGAGTAGTGTGGCAAGGTGGGAAGAACCTGGGGGTTCTGCTGGGGCTTTAAAACAAATGATGCCGTGGAGATTGTGAGCTTGGCTGAGCTGGTGTTTCTGGGTCTATAAACTGGAGGCCACAGCAGTGCCTTTCATGGCATTGTTACGAGGCATAAATTACGCAGCACACGGCAAACAGCCACCAACACAGGTTCCTCACTGTGGTTTGTATCAGGCAAGAATAGACTGGGTTTGACGAACACAAATTGTGTGCATTGTTAGCTGTTTTCAGGATTTTCAGGGGCATGTTATTTCTGCTCGAATGGCTATATCTCATGATTCTGATGGGCGTGGCCCAAGGCTGTACTTTGAGCACCACTGGGTGAGCCAGGATTAGTGTCTAAGGAATTCCGTTTCTCCCCTTTGCAGCTCACACCCCAGTGACCTCCTCTTAGCCACAGCCTCGCTGGGAATGCAGCTGAGCCTGTGTGGGTGTGGAGAGAAGGTGCAGATGGCCTCCGGTTTTCTCTCTGCAGGCAGAGAAAGTGTTCATGGTGGCTCGAGGGCTTGTCGGAGAGGCTCGGGAGGACTTGGAAGTTCACCAGGCCAAGCTGAAGGAAGTGAGGGATCGCTTGGACCGTGTCTCCAGGGAGGACAGTCAGTACTTGGAACTGGCCACTCTCGAGCACAGGATGCTACAGGTAGGCACCTCAGGAGGCAGCCGTTTCACACCTGGACAGTGACCCTAGCCTAGCAGATCATGGAGGTGCTGGGTGGCAGCCCTGACTGGTCTGTGATCAGAGGCCTGGTACAGAAGTGAACTGAAGCTCCTATGGAGGGACAGGGCCCCAGGCTTCTAGAGCCTATCCATTTACTTCCTTCTGGAGTATTGGGGCCAACTGTTCAAGGCAGTGTAGCCTGGGACCCAGAATGCTGAGGAGGGAGAACCATGGAGGAGCTGGCCCAGGGAATGCTGGATACTTCCCTTCCTGTAGACATAAGTGCACCTCTGGTCAAACCCAGGACTGCTCAGGTGGGACGATCATGCAACTCACTTTGATCACTCCCAATTCCTCCGACCCAGCCAGGTTTGTGCTACCTTTATTCATTCAGCATTGGTCTATGAAACATGTACTCTGCCAGACACAAGGTAGTGAGCCATCTGCGGGTGGCTATAGCTTCAGGGCCACCTTGTGCCCATGTAACCCAGTAACATGGCTTTGCTTCTGCAGGAGGAGAAGAGACTTCGCACGGCTTATCTGCGTGCAGAAGACTCTGAGCGTGAGAAGTTCTCCCTCTTCTCTGCGGCTGTGCGGGAAAGTCACGACAAGGAGCGCACAAGGGCTGAGAGGACCAAGAACTGGTCTCTCATTGGCTCCGTCCTGGGGGCCCTGATTGGTGTGGCTGGCTCCACCTATGTGAACCGTGTCCGGCTACAGGAGCTGAAGACCTTACTCCTGGAGGCACAGAAAGGGCCTGTGAGTCTTCAGGAGGTCATTCGAGAACAGGCATCTAGCTACTCGCTCCAGCAGAGGGACCTCCACAATCTCATGGTGGACTTGAGGGGCCTGGTACATTCTGCTGGGGCAGGGCAGGGCTCTGGGTCACGGGCAGGTACTCCCCCAACCAGAGACAGAGACGTAGATGTCCTTTCAGCTGCCTTGAAAGAGCAGTTCAGTCATTCCAGGCAGGTCCATTCATGTCTAGAAGGTTTACAAGAGCGGCTTGATGGCCTAGAAAAGACTTGTAGCCAAATGGCTGGGGTGGTTCAGCTTGTAAAGGCTGCAGCACACCCAGGCCTGGTGGAACCAGCAGACGGGGCTATGCCCAGCTCCCTGCTGGAGCAGGGGAGCGTGATCTTGGCACTGTCGGACACGGAGCAGAGACTAGAAGCCCAAGTCAACAGGAACACCATCTACAGCACCCTGGTCACCTGTGTGACATTTGTGGCCACATTGCCTGTGCTCTACATGCTATTCAGGGCCAGCTAATCCCTGGCCCCTCCTTCGGAGGGTCTGAGGCAATAGCTGCGCATGTGGATTTAGTTAGAGAGTAACAATGAAGCAAGCCTTTGGGAGGTGCACAACCTCAGCCTGAAGGAGCAGTATCTGTGTGGCTCACCAGCAGGCACGCTTTGCTTTGTAGGCAAGGTTCATTTACATTAATTATCAAAACAGTGCTAATGTCCAATTAAAATGTCCTGAGTTTTATTATTTGAAACAATCAGACTGAGTTTTTTTGTTCATTGAGAATCAAGATCCAAGACCTGAAGGTTGGGTCTGGAGTTGGAGTAGTCACCCCTTTAGTTTCTCTCTCATCTCCTCTTTGTCCTCTTTCCTGAACTGTTTTGAATGCACTCCTGAGGCCTAGATTTTCATTTTGAATTTCCTGGCCTGCCCTCCACAACCTGACTGTCCTGTGTCAGATGGCCTGGGAGTTCCAGCAAGTGGAACCTAGCCCACTGCCTACTCGTTGGTGACCATGGTTACTTCCCATCTCCTGGATCATTTTCTCTACCATGTGGGGCAGAACTTCCCGGTGTTAATACTGGAGGAGTGGTCAAAGGAGAGCAGGGAAGAGAGATTGGAGGAATGCTTGATAAATGTTGCTGGGGACCTCAGTATAGGGATTGGTGGCCAATCTGGATCCCTGGTACAGAGCGTGCTTTGGGCAGCACTGGTGTGCCACTAGGGCTGGGTGCACACCCACACACAGCCCGGGGATAACTTCCACAGCCATGGGCAGAGCTCAGGCCACAAGTGGTATGAATGGAGAAGCAGTGATAGGGAGGGGTCTCCCACAGGTGGGAGGTGCAGTGGGGCATGTGTAGGACCTTTTCAGAGGGGAACCATGACCCTTGATCTCTTGGACTAAATGGCCATGGGTGGCTTTGTTTGCCCTGGTAAACAGGAGCTTTGGGCTGGTTTTCAGTCCTGGTGTTGGAGTATTGCAGGTCTGACACATTGCAGATAACCCACTCCCCTTTGAGAGCTCAGGGGGTAGCTATATGCAGGGGCTGCAGGTGGGGCTTGTTCACTGGTGCCTGTGCAGAGCTGAGTGTCAGAACCTGTGGAGCCAGGAGTGTTTCCCTTAAGGCACATTTCCTTCTTGGAGCCTGGGCTCAGTCTTGGGCAGTGAGCATGGGCTAAATGCCCCCTACCCCAGTACTCAGCACTTGATCCCTCAATCACTCTATCCTTGGTGAGTAATGGCTCCCCAGAATGGCATGGGATGGAAAGAGCCCTGCACTTAAAGTGTCCACACTCCTCATAGGGCAGGAGGCCCCATATCTGTGTACAGATGAAGCGGGTTGTGGGGTTTGGAAGTCCCAGTTTCCTCTGGGGTGAGGTAGATCCTGAAGGGTGTGCACTTAGATGAATGGATTTGGGGAGGGAAGGATTCTGTGCATGTAGAGGGGGCTCCCACAAACTGCAGAGGTAGGAAAGCCAAAGTGGGTGAGAGACTGGGGCAGACTGTCCTGGCTGGGGTGGTGATGGATATGGGGGAGTTGCACATAATGAGGTGGCGGATCCGGGGTGCCAGGTGGGCAGTCTCTGAGGTCAGAGGCTAAGGGTGAGGGATCCAGGGAGACATTGCTATGCTGGTGCAGACAAGGTGCTAAGCAGTGGTGGGAGGCAGTGATAGGGAGGGGTCTCCCACAGGTGGGAGGTGAAGTGGGGCATGTATATGACCTTTTCAGAGGGAAAGTGACCCTTGAACTCCTGGACTAAATGGCCATGGGTGGCTTTGTTTGCCCTGGTAAACAGGAGCTTTGGGCTGGTATTCAGTCCTGGTGTTGGAGTATTGCAGGTCTGACACATTGCAGATAACCCACTCCCCTTTGAGAGCTTAAGGCAGTTCGTATGCAGAAGCTGCAGGTGGCGACTGGACCCGCACCTGGACTCAAGTGCTGGAAGTGGAAGTGGAGAAAAATGGGTGACCTGAGGGGTTGGGGAGGGAGAATTTGAAAGGCACAGAGCCTGGAAGATGAGTGACGGGAGGCCCTTGATAGCAGGTGGGAGATGGGAAGAGGGTGTCTGTAGCTCTAGGGCAATAGCCAGTGCAGATGACCTGAACCCCAGCTTTCAGATGATGCCTGTGTGACAGTTTTGCCTCCCAGGAAGCTGTGCCAGTGGCCTTGAGCCAAAGTCCTCCAAAAGCCGTAATAGGATAGGCCAGGTTCTGGATCCTGAGTTAGCCGTAGGCATGCCATGGTGTCAAGGGCCCTGCACAGGGGACAAATGGGCCCCAGGAAAGAACCCTTCTGCCAACGTTTCCTTCTGCAGAAGGCCCAGACGTTTGCCAGTGAGGGAGCCCAGACTTGCCCAACGCTTCCCAGCTTGGGGTGGCTCCAGGTCCGGGTCAAGGGCTGAGAAGAAAGAAGTGAGCCCTTGCTTGTGCGCCTCTGCAGCCCAGGTGCCCTGCCTGCACAGTCCCGCTAGAGGTGGTAACACCCCCATTTGCTGGTGAGCGAAGAGGCTGGGGTGGGGGTTGGTGTCAGGTTACACGGCTTAGTTGATGGCGCAAGCCAGGTCCAAAGCCCATGCTCCTCTCAAACAGCCAGAGGTGGGGGCCGGAAGGAGGGATTGGCTGCTGGGGAGTCTGGTGGGCAGGGCCAGGTGCGCAGGGAAGAAACAAGGCGCCTCGGAGTTCAGGTAAAGAAAGTTGAGGGGGATGACCATCGGAGCCGGGGAAGGAAGGGAAAGGGAGCTCCCGGCGTGGGGCGAGGCCAGGCGCAGGCAGAACGGGCCGGGCAGGTGAGGGACCCGGGTGCGACCCGGCTCTGGTGGGGCGGGAATAGGCCGGGGCGCGGTTCCACCAGCACTTGCGGGTGCGGAGCGCAACCCCCCGCCTTGGCCCTTCGCAACCGGAAAAGCTCCCAGTTTCAGCTCCAAGGCGGCGGGCAGGTGAGGCCGGCGGGGCGGGGTGGCCCTGGCTCCAGGGGTTCCCTCCTCACCCCCCGGGCGACCCGCGTTGCCATGGCGACAGCCAGGGTGCAGTCTGCCCCCCGGCCTGCCCCGTGCGGGAGAGGTCGGGTCCCCAGCCCTCGGCCGACGCGGAGCTGGCGGGGCTGGAATGCGGGGTCCCGGGCGGCTCGGGGCCGCGCGCCCGGCTCGCCCGGCTGCTTCCGGCCTGGCCCGGGCGGCGGGCGGGGGGAGGGTGGCCCGGCGGGCGAGGGGGAAGGAGCGGAGCCGGGCCCGGCCGACGCGGCTTTGTCTCCTTTGTTCCCGGCGGTGGCAGCGCCGCGCGGGAGGGGCGGGCAGCGGGCGCAGTTTTCCGCCCCTCGGTCTCCGGGTAACAGCTGCGGCTCCACCAGACCCGGGGGGAAGCCGCTGCGCTCAGAGCCCGACCCGGAGCGGCCGGCGCCAGCCTTGGCGCGCACATCCCGCGGGGCCCGGCCAGGTGGTGAGTGCGGGACTCGGGGCCGGGGCGGCGAGGACCCGGGCTCCCGGGGTGGAAAGGGTCGGGGCCTCGATGCAGCCGGGCAGGGGCGGCCCGGGCGAGTGGTGGGCGGTTTCGGTCCTGAGAGTTGGGACCACACTCTCCGCGCGAAGGGAAACTCTGGCGGCTCCGCCTGGAACGCGATTGGGAGACTGAGGAGGTGGAGCTGCTCCTCCGCGCCCCCTCCTCGCCGCGCCGCCGCCGGGACCGGGCGGCCCCTTCCCCGCCCTCTCAGGGCCACAGATGGGGTCCTCGCCTCGGGGTTCGGGGGCTGGGGAGGGTCGAGGACGAGCCGAGTGGGGAGGTCGGGGCTTCCCCTTGGTAGGAACAGCCCTTCCTGGCTGCTCCCGGTGGGACTGACAAAGGCAGACCTCGAACCTCCCGGCCCCTAGAGGGGGGCCCTCCTCTACATACACACACACACACACACACACACACACACACACACACACACATTCACACACACACATACACACATATTCACACACACACATTCACACACACATTCACACACATTCACACACACACATTCACACACACATTCACACACACATTCACACCCACACACACATTCAGTGGGTGATCCATGAGCGCCTTGGGTCATCGCAGATGCCTGGTAAATGGTGGATCTCCCCACCCCTCCTCAACACACAGAAAACAGGGCGGGCAGCGGACACCACTGCACTGTCAATGAGTAACTCACCTCTGTTGCACCCTGGGAGCTGAGCAGGAGGGCGAAACGGGGAGGCCGGTTTCCCACTGACTGGCAGGCAGAGCAAATGTGGGCTGTCCTACGGTCCCTCTGCAGGTGCGGAATGGCGGAGTTTGTGAGCCACTTTTGTCGGCGAGGACAGCTCCACAGGGGCCCAGGAGGTGCCTGCTCTGCAGACAGAAGTTGGGCAGCCTTGGGCTCGCTCAAAGGCTCAGAGCAGGGTGGGCCCGGAAGAGACTCCAGGCAGGCCTGGGCACAGGCGGAGTGAGGCTTTGGCCGTGAGCCTGAGCAGGGCCTCAGATGTTGGGAGTGGGCAGTAGATCCAGGCTGTGTAAGTTGCGGATGTGAGGTCTGGTTCTAGATCAGCCTTTTCAGTCTGTCCTGGACTGGTCATTAATAAAAGTGGAGCCAACGTCTTAACTTTGAGAGATCAAGTGGCTTAGAGGGGGTGTGGGCCCCCTATCTCCCCTACTTGTTGGGTTTCCTTGGCTGTGAAATCGAGGTTTGTTTGCCCTGCAGGGAGCATCTGCTCTGTGCTGATGTGTCTGCAAGTTGCTGGGGCCTCCACATCAGAGCCATACTCCCTTCCTTCAAGGAGCTTAAAGTCCAGAGTAGGAGGGTGGAACAGGGAGAAAAGTGACTCTGGTTGGCGTCACTAATGCCAGGCACACACTGCATCAGGTTTACAGTCAGAGCAATCTTGCCTCCCATTGTACAACTAGGAGATCTGAGGCTCGGAGAGCCTGAGGCAGAGCAGCCGTGTCTGTCAGCGTGCTGGGTAGGTGTGTGTCCATTCTGTCCACCACATGCAGTGCCTCTTCAGGAGCCTGGGAGGACAGGGGAGGCTCCCCAGAGAGATGATGTTTGGCATAGGAATTAATGGGACAGAGAGGGAGTGGGCATTCCAGGCAGCGAAAGAGCCTGTGCGGCCACTGGAGGAGCGGAAGCAGCCTACGGTTCAGGCAGGCAGGAACGAAGGGCATGTGTGGGGGAGCACTGGCATGGATGGGGGGGGAGGTGTGGACTAGAGGGGTGGGCCTGTATCCCTCCCGCTCTGGGGGAGGGG